AGAATATTTCAAGGCTGTCTAGTGTTTTATAGATTTTAATTATCGTTCTATAAAAATATTAATTGATGACGAAAATATCTTATTCATGCAAACTTTAGATTATGTTTGAAATAATCGATTAAGTCAAACGGTGCATGAGTTTTTTCTAATAACTTTTTTTCTGGTTAGTGTCGTTTTAGCTAACTAACCCCATGCCCAACCCTCCTCATTTGTCTGGGTTTGAGACTGGCAGTAACTTTAAAAATGCTCTAAGCAGAGTTAATAACTATTAAAGAATGCTACTTATTAAGTAGCATTCATTGTTGTCTGTTATTAATTAAAAAAAACTCTGGTGTCGTAGTGATTTATTTTGTGATTGAATTAGGATTAATTAAAAAAATAATCGATTTTTGTTTTCAGTTAGTCGAAAGTATTCATACAATTTTAAGTGTCAATTATATTCATTATAACAGATAAGAAACCAGACAATTCTACTAACTAGACCACGAAAACAAAAGATATTAGTTATACTGATTTGCTTTATAATAAACATTTGTAAATAAAAAACCTATGGAATCTAATTAGCGATGAAACTCAGGATGCAATTTTTTTCCTATTCGAGACACATCAGACGGATGTACCTACATTCTGGAGTTAATGTTCATATTCCTGGACTTGAACCCAGTATCAAATGTCAGTCCAGAGAGAGACACTACTATGTTGATATATGATGTGAAGAGTACTGGGTTTGAATAGAAGAGGGAATATCAATCCTAGAATATGGCAGATTATTATCCAGGAGATACGAGTCCTGCATTCCAATAATTGCCACATTGTAGAGTTTTAAGGTTGAAATCTCAAGAGATGTGAATTAACAGCAACTTCACATCAGATTGATTGATCTAGTGTAAACTCTTGAATTTATGTATCAGAAACGTGACATTTTATCACTATGTGTATGGATAAACTTTAAATTCATGCATGAGATGAACCAAACTTACGGTAATACGTTGTTAGCTAAATTTTCTTTTTCAGCTACTCACCATGAAATAAGCTTTACAGATATTTTCATTTCACTTGAATTATGGAAACAAGACTTAAGAATGTGTATTGCCTTGAAAACATTCCAACTGATTTATGAATTATTTAAACAGTTTCATGAAAATTTATGCAAAGATGAATTAATTTTATTGAGGGGATAATCTATTTCGTGTAAATCTTCCTCAGCTAGTGACCTATATATATATATATATATATATATATATATATATATACTTTAACGTGACTTACTTTTTGATCTTATTCACAAACGTATGTGCAAATGTGTTACATCTGAGTTAAAACTTATCAACTTCACAAGTTTTCTTAACATCTGGAACAAAGTTAAACGATATTGTTAAGCTGAAATAGTTAATCGCTTCAATGAAATTATGATAGAAAATTAGTCAGTTTATTCTGTTAAATAGTTTATTATTACCCATTATAGACTTCTATGTTTCGTGGACATCATCGGTAAGGTGTATCTGTAGTCTTACCGAGTCATAACCAAAATGGTTAGGTGATAATGCAGGATGATGACGCAGGACCGAATTTCTCAGGGAGCACTAGTCCTCTCAAGATTACGATCATATTTTGTTGACGGATAGACAGAAAGACAGATACAACGCAGAAATTCGTACATGAGTATGTCAGTTCAGGTTGCCATGCCCCATCAGCACTGAGACGCAACTGTCAGTTCAAATCCAAGAGTGATAGCAATAGTAGAAGTATTCGCAGTAATGGAGAAGATTAGGGAGCGAAGATATGTTTCGAGAAGTATAATTCAGTGAGATAAATTTAGAAGGAGAAAGATAGAGAATATGAGGAATTCAGAAGGTTAGAATTAGAGAGAACACAAAGAGTGGATGTACCTGCGTCATTTGCAAACGATTTTTAGCCATGTGGTTCAAGGTCTCTAAATATTTCGTTGACTAGTGTGAAATATTACGAATGATAGGTCTGTAATTTCCCATTGACTATCTTCAGCCATCTAACACGCTAACATTATGTACGTAATGTGCAGTCAGTCATACGAGTGTCCATATTGTAATCTAGTGGTTAGGGTTAAGCAGTTCATTCTATATCGTATCGATTTTTAGATAAATCTTAGATTTAAGATGTAATTTTCCTTGTGTTCTAAATCTTTTATCATAAGATAAAAAAAATCATACATTGTCACTAGGCTTGAAAAGATTGTTTAATTTTTTTGACGTCATCTGGTTTTATTCTAAATTAATTTTGTGTGTTCGTGATCTAAAATGTCACAAATCCTTCTAACTGATTGATTGGCGTCAAAAGGATAAATAATAATTCTAGTTTTTTTTTGAGTAGTTGATGGAAATTGACAGGATGCTTTTTATAAACTAAACATTCATAACAGTTGGAGCGTAATAGTGAAACAATATTGACTTTCTTCAGTGAGAATTAATTAATTTACCTACAAACTTTTCATAAGCTGGATATCATCATCACCGGTAAAATTGTAGCTACATTGAGCAATCTGGTTCAAAAAACTTGGTTATTTCTTAAAAAGGGTAGATCAATATGTATTTCCAGTTTGGATTCAGTGATTAATCCGTGTAATAGTTCTAGTAAGAAGCCGTGACCAAAAGAGTTCAATCGTATTGGATGTGAGGAAGTTACTCACTCAATGAAACGGAGGATGATCACGCTATATGGTAGATTGACTAAAGCTAGACTCATACGATGTTAGATACTTAATCGATGATCTATAGGTCGAGCGTTTGTGTGAGAGACAAAAGGTCTTCAGTTCGACTGCCGAATACAGGCTGCCTGATATGTACTGATTTATTTTAATCAAACAGTCTAACTAAAATCATTCCATGATGTAATACGATACTATCTTATGCATATTCATTCACAATTCCAATTCATCTATACAAAACTTAATTCAGTTATAAAAAGTCATGATCAGTTGATTTCTTGTTCTTGTATTTTTATTTAAAAAATCAGTGTCATTTACACAATAGACAATATTGACTATAAAACATAATCCGATTCATCACTGGTCACCTTTTCTATTTCTTTTGATTTAAATAAGTTTTTAATCAAAGTTGAAAAATCAATTAAGTTTAACCTTGAACTGAATAGATTAATCTATCTATCTTTCTATTTCCCATGATAACTGAACGGAATCTTTATTTAAAGTAGCCTAATTGTTTTGTAAATAACCTACAAGTGTACACTATTCACTGGTAATATATATATATATATATATATACCATCAGGAAATGTCGGGCAATATCAGAAATGTTATATTTATAGCATGAGAGAATTAATTATTTATCATAATTTTTCCATTAGATTTCTAAAAAAGATGCAATTTTTGTTGATTCACAAATGAAAATAGACTATTTGATAAATATTTATATGGAATGACGATACTGTGGATTGATTGAAATTAGATATTAACAGCGTCGGATTCTAATTTTAGTGATCAAGAGGTTAAGCGTTTATGGTGGCCGATTTCGTTGACGTCAGGATCCCCATTTGTGGTGTGTCGATTTACTGCTCGGTAATTAGCTCGTCCAGACAGTCGTTACTAAATAGCGTCTGATGGTTTATAAATCAGAAGGTGAACACAAAGTGTTGAATACGTTTATTTTAGAACACACCACAAAACGAAACGGAGAGGCAGAGAATAAAACGAATGAAGCGACGTGAATTGGAGAAGGCTAATGAGCATGACTAAAAATATATAGTGAGACAAAAATGGGATAGATATATGATAGCGAAATAGGCATGCACACACATGAATAAAAGCGACGAATGACTGACAAGGTCAAAAGCAAGCGAGACAAGTCATGTGAGTTCATAGGGATATTAAGAGACTAACAATAGAGCGAAAAGGATGAGTCAGCGCATAGGCGTAAGCAATGCTCAGTCATACAAGCTCATACAAACCAGACAATAAAAAATACCAATGGTACATATGGGCTATACCAATAGCTTGATTACATAAGTTAATCGAAAGGCTTAATCAAATTAAATATGAGCGAACTCAAGTTTATGTGGAGGCACTATACGTTCATGTGAGAGATCGAGGGTTTTGAGCAGGATTTCTGTTTGTACTGTTGTGGGTTCGGACGTCTGATGAGTTGTACATTGGGAATGGTGGTCTAACAGTGATCAGTTTATGCTTGCAATAGATGATGATTTATCTAAGTGATATTAGAAACTTTTATTATATTTTGCAATTTTACATAAATTGTACATATAAACGACAAGTTCGTAGGAGTTGTTTAGTTTCATTACTCATAACATGAAGTCATTTATAGTTAAAAACGAACACTGAAAACTAGAAAGTATTGGATACATGTTACGGTCTAGTAAGGGATTCCTTAGCATTCAGAAATCTAGGATCCCACTGGCGACCAGACTTAAGACTTTCAAGTCCTGTAGTGAGCGCTTAACCTTAAAGCTAATGAACAGCCACAAATTGATTGGATTTTATGTCCAAATTCAACCGGTTTACTATACTATTCACATAACATACACTGTTTTTGTTAGGTTAATTTTGAACACTAGAATTCGCTAGAGTAGTTGATCACTAGGTATCGTCCCAGAGCTCGAATGACTAGTTGCTGGTCATGAAATTTGAAGTTTTTATATCTGATCTCTAGTAGGCTGTTGGATATGTCATTGCTGAGGAAAGCTATATACTCGACTGAAACCTATTTCCTAGTATTCAACCTATGATAATTGATAATGAGAATCATGGAATCCGACAAACTCTACAAATTCTTTCTAGTAGTAATTTGTAAATGTTAATTTACTGGTGTTTTTTTTGAATAGAAAAATATACGTGAATTATACATTTATATTCTTAAATATCATCATTATTATCACTATTATTATTCTCACGGTAGTAGTAATTTTGTAATAATAACATTAACGTAAAATTATCATGTGTGTATTATTGTTGTTCTTCTTCATCTTCTGACTGTTATCAATCCATTTAGCTACACTTGGAACGTATAATATTTACACAAAACGTGCCAGTTTCAAAGATGACGTCATTTTACAACAATTTATACAAGATAAATGTGAACCGACTACACCTACTGTCATTGAAGCGGTAAGTTTTTGCCTAATCATTGTTTTTTTTCTGTACTCTTTTTTTTGTTTAAATGCAAAAGAGAGAATTCCGTATACCCTTTAGTTTTTTCACTTGAAAACAGTTGATTTTATCATCATCAATCTTTCTTTATTCCTTATATACAACATCATACACTGATCTAAGTCAAGCGCTCATTAAAAAACCAGATTGGATAACTGTTTCTGTATATCCGAATTTTCACCAGTGCACATCAATAACCCTACAGCTGGAGATGGAATAAAAACATCTTCGGTTTCGCATGATCGCTCAACATTTAGACTATTGAGTTGGTATCCAGTAATTATTTACCATTGTTTTCAATGAGTAACTTCTACATATTCACTTAAGGCTCAACTGCACTGGTTACGACTTCTCTGGTGAATATCTTTTCGAAGCTGGTAACTTTATCGATATCGTGTTACATAAAAATTATTAAAATGATTTATCCAGTTTAGATCAGTTTTCTGATTTCAATGAAACTCAACAATTTTTACACCAATCTATTAATAATCTATTGATTGTTTTTTTGCCAAAATTTGATAGAAAGGCATTCAATTTGTCATGTTCAACATTCACTTGTTCAAATATCAATGGTGTTGTTTTAAGTTGATGGATGTTATGGTGGTTTGTTTTCTTGTTTATTCTAAATTTAGTTTTTATTACAATAACTAACAAATTTTTATGTGAATCCAAAGTACTTTTAAGCAAATACAAGGAATAAGTCAATTTTATTTTATGAGTTTATTGTTCAATGATTGATGACTTTTGAGTATATTTTTATTAGTTGCATACTTTATGAGTTGAATCATGAAATAGTTTTGAGTTTTTGTTTTTTCGGATTAAATGTAAACCGAGTTGTTTGTTTGTTTTGAATTCTTCTTTATTTTTTATTATATTTTCATGTTATGCTTTATGTTTTGGTATTGAAATAATGTTATTTTGATGATAGTGAGGGCTATCACTTTCATTTTTAAGTGTAAATGATAAACTGAATTTCATGAATCGATCAATATTAGACCATCATTAAAATCTGGGAAGCTCTGGTACGCCATCCCGTCTTAATGTGGATCTCATCAACAGAACGCATTTACGACCCCCACGAGTGGTAGTCGAACTTAGTACATTCGGTCTAGCGTGCAAACGCCTAATCTTTAGACCAGTGAGCCAGCATTTAACGCTGTTAATGTTTTGTTTTCATCTAATCCATTAAATTACTCAGCCTCATCCATTTTCATCGGTCGATAACTACCTCACACCCGACGTGCTTGAACTCCAGTGATTAACAGTATAGCATGTAAGCACCTGTGTAATAAATGAAGATGTTACGACTAGATTGAGTAAATTATTTATTTAAAGAAGACACAGTTCACTATCAAAATATATACTCCTTATTTTTAGACTTTCATTTACAAATTGAACAAACTGTCTTGTTTCACGTGTCTTATGATCTTTTACACACATTCAGTAGTAACCTCTTGGCAAAACTGTTGTGTACTACTTATAAACCGCATTCCGAGTAGTTCTCAGTACACCTGTACCTGATCACAAAGTAATGCTGATTTTATCATCATTCAATTTACATTTCTTATCAAGGTCATGATAAGTTTTAAAAATAATTCTGTAACTTGAGTTAGTAAATGGCACGAGACTTTAGGGTCCAAGCTAGTGAATTCTGTTTTCTGCCAAGACACAAAGTTCTAACGTTGAAAGTTTCAATATACACTTTAGATTCTGTTTAGTTCTTGATGTGTTAATTCGATAATTCAACGACGTTAATACTGGAGATAGGAATAAGGTGGTCAAGAAGAAATGTAACATTTTCGAGGTCAACCAAATCTAACAGTTTTCTTTCTTTGCAGACATTGATTGTCTAATGGAAATACTTTATTGCTGTCATAATATTTCAGTACAATCAATTATTATGATTATGCTCCTTATACTTGTGTTATCCAATCAGCCTTAGTTGAGCAATAAGGCAAGAACAATTGTACATTAAGCATACATGTTGAGGATAAAGCAGCATTGAATTCAATGAATAGAGGTTTGTCTATTGATCACTACGTGCACAATGCAATCATACAATGGTGAAGTGCCTATTTTTAATTTTTAGTAAAAGCTACTACTTTCTTATCTGATATCAGTAATATTGTTTGAATTCGAAATAGATTAACATAGGCTTGAAAACAATTAAAATAAGGAATTATCTGTTTTACCTACTAAGTTCAAATAGCTACTTGGTGGTATGTATATGGGTATGATGAATTTTAATTTAATATGAAATAAATCAGAGATAACTGAATTAAATATTCAAACATAAATCAAAAACGAATAAATATAATTTATGGAATATAACTTGTCAGTTTTAACAAATTTTTGACCATTGACAGTTAAATAGTAAACTTATGTCATGTCTATCTAGTCTAGAGATTCTTATGAATCGCCTAAGACCAACCATCTAACATACGTAATTTTTACAAACATTTTTATTCTGAATAATAATCAGTATGTGTTGACACATGTGTGTATCCTGTGTAGACAGTCACAATAGGCCCATTTTATTATAAATCACTAATCTAAGCTGAGAAAAAGGTCAATTAAATTCACTACTGAGGTATTTCGAAATACAAAACTATATCTTTGTTGATACAACATACATTTCAATCTTGTATACGATAAAATCTTCCTTTTAATTTGTTTCATAACACTAAAACATATTTATTATCGAGTAACTATTTGTTTCGATGAAAAGTATTTGTCAAATTGTTTAAATGTTTATTAGATATTATTGAAATTAATTAAAAATATATTCATTATTCAATTTATTAAATTTGTGAATAATATTAGAGTAGATTTTAAATTTCGATGAATTCATAACGTTTTTCATGAATGATTCTGTTTGTGGTATGCATCATTCATGTACATTTAAGTCATTATAACCAATCGTCGAATGATCAATAAAATTCGATCAGAAATTAAACACTGAACATCTTGAATTGTTCTTTGACATATTCAAATGTTCAAGGTCTTGGTATTAACTTCAAATAATAGTCAAAATGAATAAAAGAAACTTGACAAATGAACATTTAACATGGATATAATTAAACGACCAATGAGGAGTGATGAAGAGTGATCATATTTATTAAACACTTTCAACGCTGATCATTCAGCATTAGTGTGGTGGTAATTAGTCTTGTTAACTCCACCTTGTCTAACCATAGAAAATTTTAACATCCCATTTCTGACTAAAATTTGAATGAACGATTGAATTAGTCGAAATTCCGAATAATATTCCCTTTGGTTTTCTCCATATTCCATTTCGATAAATTCCGTTTATACAATGGCGGGAATAAATAACCGCAGACGGTTTTGTAGATGAATTCATTTGATAGATTGACATAAGCTGACAGACAATAGAATGCGAATTGTAACACCAGACCGAAGAACTCAACATGATGAGGTATGATTAAGTGTTTTTAGTCAGACAAAAATAAGCTGTAACTGCGATAAGCAGAGCAAGCAAAACACACACCGTATGCAAATCAAGAAACTTATGTATGGGCTAGGATACTGCCCAAATACTAAAGGACTAGAGAAGTATGAAATTGACAAGTACTCAGTGGTCGGTCCACTGTATACATCTCAATACTATCGTAAATGTATCATGGCCTGAAATGATCAAGGGTAACATCTCAAACTCTGACACAGAAAAATGTGAGTTTTCGAATAATACGGGAAGCATGTATTATGAAAATAACGGAAGTACACATTCCTACTTCATAACCACGAAAAGTCTGTTAAGTGAACTTTTGTGTTTATTATTTTCAGCCAACTAACTGCTCAAATGTATTTCGTTATCTTTAAATTAATTTATTTTGTCTACAAAAAAAAATCACTTTCCGTTTCGTGTGACTTGAATATTATTTTTTTCTGCTTATTTTATTTTCACTTAAGGATATTTATAAAATAACACATTTTCATTACAAAACCACTTTGGCGATGATAATAACAACATTCACTAAAACTTCTACTACTACTAATCACACTACTACTACTACTACTACTACTACAACTTCTACTACGACCACTACTACTACTACTACTACATTTTTATTCTCAGCCACTTCTTATACAACATAACTAATGACTTCTTATTTAAATCATCAAAAAACATTTACCGAAATCGAATGAAATAGAAAACAAATTGAAATGCCTTAAGCATTTATTTATCTCACACTAAATATGGTAATCATTTCAAATGAAGTGTTTCATAACTCTGAAATTATTTGTTCGAATCAAGTGATAAACGTTCATCTATTATGAATGATCTAAGTGGTCGGTGATTTCATTGGTCGACAATAAAATCAGTCTGAAACGGACTGTTTGCATTGTGATATTTAAATCACAATTTGTAGAGATGGATTCAATTGTAAGCGAGTTTCCACCCATTGTCTGATAAAGTCAGTTGTAGATCGAATGTAAATGTTGATGTAACATGTGTTTGAAAATTGGGTAAAATCATAGACACCATTGATTTGAATGGAAGGAAGTATCGATCTCTTTCCGAACGAATCACTAAACTCTCATGACCATACTAGAGAGCCACGAGTACAATATGATTTCACGTGATCATTGTGTCGAGTTTATACACTGCGCAAACAGGACAGGATATTATTTTATATTATTTTATAAATGGAATAATGGTGTTATAGTTCGTCAGTTAATTAAAGTATAGGACTGGAATTATTAATGGTTCAATCGATACCAACAAAGTTGGACAGTGCCCGGCAGTTGAATCTAGGGTGATTGTTTCGTCTCACTATGTACTCATCAGCTGGGTGTACTTGTATCTTATAGTTGATGTTCACTCCGGGACTCGAACTCAGTACCATTGAAATGTCTTTTAACTGAAACGTTGCCGCGTTTGGGCTCTAAAATGATTATCAACTCTGAGATATAGTTACAAAACGCACCTACTGGAC